GTGTGATTTCCATTTAGTGGGTTTTGCGAATGGCGCATATTCCTGCTGCTTTGCCGTCCCGCGCATGGAGCAACTCTTCTATGGATGTGGGAGCCGCTTCACTTGATGAAGTGCAAGCGTGAACCAAAATCATCAAGTCAGCAAGCAGATGATCTTCGCAAGAAGATGCAGGCAGGGCTTGGGGACCTGTTTCCACATGCATGTTTTAACTCGTGTTCGGCAGGAAATGCAAGCGCAGCTTGATCGTGCGCAGAAGATCAAGATGGGCCGTATGAGTATGAGTCTCAAGGCGGGCAACTGCGTAAGTGCAACTCGTTTGTACCCTTGTCGTTTTCTTGCTACAGGCGGATCCGTCTCCTATGAAAAGGGAGATCAAGGACACCAAAAAAAGCGCATGCAGCAATCATGACGGCGTGTGTCCTTCATGCCTCGTGATGAAGGAGAAGAAGTCGCCTCCTGATGTCACCAACAAGCTGAGCAAGGACATGCTATCTTTTCATGAAGCGTGACTCCATGAGAGCTTCTGTTATAACCCACAGGATCAGATCAACACGATGTACCTGCAAGAGATTGCTGAGCTTGAAGCCCGCAGACGTGCGCTAGTTCAGTGGTGCCAAGATGCCGCGCGTGGCAATTCTACAAGCTCGACGCCACCCCCTACCTCCTCCCGATCTCATTCCCCGGCACCAAGCACTTTGCCTCCGAGGACAGAAGCTTCGAGCTCACACAACGGCTCAGTGAGCTCGCGCGCAAACGAGGAGCAGGTCTCATGTCTTACATACAGGCAAGCGTGCTCAACAGTAATGATCTCTGCTTGCAAGCTAAGGTCGAGGTGCAAGCCGGTGGACATGTCTATGTCAATGGGAAGTATCTATCTCATTCTGCTGTGGAGCAGCGCTTGCGTAGGCTGTGCGCAATCAAGAAATCAGGTGTTTGTGAGGCCGGGGAAGATTGCAGGAAAATGTTTCAGAAGGGTGGTGATGACCGCGCTACTCTTATGGAGTTATTCAAGCAGAGTGGCCTCAAGAAGGACCGAAATGCACATTTCTTTGGGTTCATATAGATCGATGCAGGGACTGCGTGGAAACATGTGTGCACATACTTCGCAGGATTTGCTGAAGCGCAAGGTGGTGCAGACTCTCGAGAGGGAGATGAAGAAGAAGCTCACGGTCACCGCAGGTTGGTACACAGAAACTCAAATGGCCAAAAAGCTTGATTTCACAGACCCTCAGCTGCAAACATGCCTCCGACCCCCTTCACATGCAGCCTCAATACCCTTAGCCGAATTATCACCCAGGGAAGACATCAAAGCTGTGGTGGAGTACACCTCCACTCGGCCGGCTCTCCGAAGGCGGCATCCTCAGCCACAGATAGTTCAGAAAAATAGTGTGCATTTGGGAGGCCATGGAAATACAACCCCAAAGTCTTGCAGCACTGGGTCGAGACAGACGAGAGTGGTGAGTTGTCATATTCCGAGAATGGCCGAACTACTGACTCTGTGGAGGTCGACGTGACTGATGCAGCAGGAATGCCATCGCTTGTGAACTTGGGCGGCGACGGCAATTCGATGGAAGCGTTGCCGCCTGCTGACGGTGGGGTTGAGGGCGAGGCAGCGTTTTTTCCTCTGGATTGTTGTCCCTGAACCTCTTTAAATTTTAATCGAACCCCTAATTAAATAAAACTGCATTCAGGACGTGCTTGCCCACGTGGCCAAGAGTATGCAGTGCCTGATTGTCAAGAGTGCAAAGATGGCTGATTTGGCGGCCAAGCTAAATGATGCTACTTGCCCTGCGGAGCACAAGTCCCAAGCCTCAAGGCCCGATCAGTTACATGATGTTTCGAAAGTGTTGGGTGTTCAATCTGCTTGCCCCTGAAGCCTGGCGTCTCCAATGCTGCGGCTGCAAAGCAAAATCGATGCCAGCTATGATGATTTGGCCAAGCTGTCTGCCAAGATGAAGAATCAAGCTGAGGTGAAGAAGCGACTTGACATATGCATCATGAGCATGATGTATATCCGGGACCTTCCCCAGAAAACCTGAAACCATGTGCACAAAGTCATTCAGGCACGAGGCGGCCTGCAGAAACATGCTGGAAGAAGCCGAAGTGCAGCGTCCTGGCCAAAAGACGCACTGACAATTGTATCTGTGCGCATGCGGCTGCATACGAGCATTCGAAGATCTAAGGGGCAGCCAGTGCACTCGACTCGAAGCTACTGCGAGCCCACTCCTGCGCATCATCAAGAAGGCCTCTGCCAGCGTTGAGGATGATGCTGCGCCTGCCGAGAGCAAAGCTCCAAAGAAGAGAAAGGCAGCTGTAAAGCCCAAGGCTGCAGCCAAGAAGTCTTAAGAAAAAATCAAAGATCACACATGATTTATTGGGGGCGGAGGCGTGCGTATTGTAAATATGCAACATGTCTCCTTCGGGGTTCTCAAGGCCTATAGCAGGCATGCTTCGTGTGATGAACACATGGGCGCTCGGAAAAACAAGACCACCCGGCCTGCTCAGCATGCTTTCGCCGTGTGAAGCCACACGCCAGACCTCGGCCAATGTTTGCATTGCGTACGTGATTTCACATGCCAGGTGATGTTGGACCTCTGGGGAAGCATGCAGCAGACTGCATAGCAAATGGGGCGACAGCTTCAAGTGTTGCTGCTATGGCCAAAGCAGCTGTGCAGCAGTTTGGGGCGACCACGTGCCCTATTACAAGACGCCTGGCTACTGTGCGAGGTGATCGTGCTGAAGATGCTTGCCACAAGATGTTTCATGCTCGCGCGCCATTGTTTTCGGGTTTTTGTTTTGAATCCAACATTTAACCCATGTAGCTCCACGGTCCCACACAAACACAAGGTTTCGCAAACACAGCCTCGAACTTGACATCAAAATCTCCTGGATTGACGTGGGCCTGCAGAATCAAACTTTCCCTGTCTTACAGCCCTGCGACCTAATTCACTATTTGGCAGCCAAAGACCAAATTGGTAGATTATGCGGGGCTCCGAAAGCAACATCAAACGAATTGGAATCCATGCTTCTGGTATTTTGGAGGCGGTATTCCAGAATATGCCCGGGGCATCAAGTCTTTAACGGATCCGTGCAGCTACGGAGGTCGATCCCATGCTATATTCACGGCGACGATGGCCGCTCCTTCAAAAAGAGTGGGGTTCTCTTGATAAATCTTCAAGGAGCTCTTGGAGTTGGTTCAGCCCCATTTCATAAGAAGCATAAAAGCCGTGCCGAGTTCATGACAAATTGCATGGGACTGAACATTGGTGGGCACAGCTACGGCAGCAGATTGCTCTACTGTTCTATGCAGCGCAAGTTTTTTGCAAAGCAACCGGAAGTTTTTGATAATCTTCTTGATAACCTCGCCAACCAACTTCTGAAGCTGCTGCAGGGCTTTACATGGGGAAACGATACGTGGCATATCATTGTTCTGGGGGTCAAGGGAGATCTCCCGTGGCTAACAAAAGCAGGTGGCTTCCAACGACATTTTCTGCGCGCTCAGCGGGTTCGAAACCCCAAGGAGCCTCCTGCGGGCATATGTTTTCTTTGCCACGCTGGCCGATCTCAAGTGCCGTATGAAGACTTCCGAGATGATGCTCTTTGGGTTTCTGATGGTTGTGATCTTCCCTGGGCAAGACAGCCGAGCCTACTCAAATTGTATCATGACCCTGATTGCCCATCATCATTTTACAAATTGGACATTTTTCACAACTTCCATGGCGGTGCTGGGAAAGATTGGGTGGCATCTGTGATGACAGAAGCATTGGGTTTATTGCCGGGCAATTCTAAGGATGCCAAGATCGAAGCTATGGCAGCGATCATGCACGCATGGGGCAAGCCAAGTCGTGACAATCGACCTCATTCTGGAGATTTCTGTGCCGATCGGATCGGTTTGACCTCTTACCAAGTATGTCCTGATGCCAGCTGGTCAAAGCACAATGATACAACCATTTACATGAGGTTCATACAGTTTTTCTTTGCTGCCCGGCCACAGCATCGTGAAGATCCCCGAATGTGCTTGATGTATCAAGCCACTTGCGCAATCAACCTGTCTTTTGAGCTGCTGTATGAAGGCGGCTTGTGGCTTCCACGGGAAATTGCTGCCGAGGCAGCTCGGCTGGGCAGGTTCTGGGTGCAAGCCTACGGGGCTCTGGCGAGGCAGTTCCACGCAGCTCAGCTTCTCCAAATCCCATTGCATACAAAATTGCATTATCTGGATCACTCGTACCGCTTCTAACAATATCACGCTGCCAGTTCTGAATATGTGTACAACATTCTGAATGAATCGGTCCAACAAGATGAAGTTTCTTGGCGTGATGTATGATGTGCTTTCATGCGATGTTGGGCCCCTTTTTGTTTAATTGTAATCGCAGTGATTTCCATAGAAGCTTGCAACTCTCGAGCTCAGGATTTTGTTGGCCAGCAGGCTCGCCTCACGGGTGAGCCCTGTTACAAATTCGTACAGGAGCTTAGAGCGCTACTGTGCTCGAGCTCGCAAAGTTTGGGGCTAATTGTGCGCACAGCTCGGTAAACCGGTAAACAAGATGCCCATGCACGCATATTCAAAATGCTGTCAGCTGCAATTGCCCTGAGCTCCCGGCAAAGCCAAATGAAGATCAGCAAGGGGACGCAAGGGGTGCTGTTGATCAAAAAGGCAGTGGTGACGAGCTCAGTGCGGAAACATGTTCAAACCATGCCCGTTCTTGACCCCTTTAATGGACGTTGACCTCCAAATCACCCAACTTCCTCAAGCAACTCTTGAAATCCACAACCCGTAAATGGCCGTATTTGCGAAATGACCGTCCAAAGCCGTATGCCCCGGTATACGCGTTCAAATGGTGTTAAAGGTAGAAAGAGATAGAACAGCCCACAGGCCAACAAACAGACGGAATGCGACAGAGTAGAAGTTAAGTGGGTGTGACGTGCGCCTTGCATTGTACTATCTCTAGATGAAGGAGTTCAGCGATAGCTCTCTGATGTTCTTTTCGTGCCAGTGCGAGGCAGATATCCACTTTCGCCGCTCCATCGTTGGCACCGCGATGGTTCCTGCCGAGGTCAGCTCCCAAAAATATCCGAAGAGAAGTTTCGGACGTTGCTCCTCAGCCCTTGAAAAAAGTTTGTTCTGGCGTTGGAGGCTAGCACCGCTCTCAGCGCAAAATTCATTGTATTGATTTGACACATCATCTGGGTGTTCGCGCGCTTCTTCACCTGTTTGCCTGAGCAACAGGGCTGAGGAGTTTAGGGGATCGTGGAGAATTTTCGTTGCGGTGGCTCAGGATTTCAAGGCCCACACCTTGGCCCAGGAGCTGTCGGAGGCAGCGCCACGGTTGGGTAATGTTGCACCTGGAATTCCTCCTCAAAACTATCTCGGTGTACTGTAGAAGGGCCTTTCCCATACTGTCCGATGGTCATCCGTGATCTGAGTCTAGTACCGAAAAATCATTCAAGAGGGGCTGTGAGAGCAGAAGTATGTGTGGCTACTTGCTGACACTTTTGGCATGCTGCCGACAGGTGCTTCTCGAGGACGAGGGCAGTGCCCAAGCGCAGGTCGGATTTTATAGTCCAATTACAGAGACCGCATGCTGCCATCAACATTGGGGGTCGCGCTAGACACAGAGCCGTGGAGAGTCTGACTAATTGGCTGCGACACTTGCACGCAGCTACTGACAGGCACAGGAACAGCTCTCAGATGAGAGTGACTTCATGATCGAATACAATTTCACCGAGGCACACGTGAGGGCGCCTCTTCAGACAGATTTTGCTTTCATCCAGTTGGTGCAGACTGAACCCGGACTATGCCCATGCGTATTTGCCAACGCGCAGGTTGAAGTTGCTGTCTCCAAAGATAACGAGCAGGACGGTGCAGAGCCAGTAACAGTGTCTGCAGTGAGTTAGATGAGCAAGTGTACATGCTGCGAGAGTCAAAGGCGAGGGGAACAAAGAACATGATAGGGGTTGCTGTCACACCTTCTAAGCCCGCGTTCAGATGAGTTGATGCGACGTGTTGTCCAAGTCAGTTTGAAAGATTCTGATCCATCTGCCACAGCTTGAATGCCTTGGCGCATGGGTGGCCTGACCCAGATGCGCCCAAAGTGTCCGAATTTTTCGGAGAGCCCACCTCACCCCTCATCACAAAACCAGATAACCGTAACGTGACTCTAAACTTAGTGTGAAGATGTCAGCGTAAACATCGAGAGTTGTCAAATCGAACGGAGACCCAAGGAGCTTGACTCGGATGAGGAGGTCATGGACGAGGGCACGGTGGTAAGCAAAGTCGGCCGGGAGCTCGAAAAAGTACCATCAGATGCATGGAGATGCACTGGAGCAAACCACAAGCACCATTCAAAAGCTACTCTTTTCTTTTTCCTTGTTGCCTTTGCCTTCGAGGCGTTCCGCGCCGGTATTTCTGGATCGTGGCCCTGTTCCTCGTGGTCTCCACAACGGCGGCTCGACGCAAGCAGCATCAGTACAGCCTCGTCGTGACATCGTCGACGGCCAAAAGAATTTCTACCATTGGTTGCCCCTATACTCCACTTGCCGGAAACGCAAGAAATCTTGGAACTTAGAACTGTTAGAGGTCCCGTAGTGCCACTATGAAGCAGCATTGCCCAAGATAGCTTTTGTTTGGATCGTTGATTTGCTCCAGGGCAGCTTCGGCAATGGGCTTTCAGAGTGCATGCTGCCCACACGCTAGGCCCTGGCCTGGCTGCTGCATACAAACCTCAACTCAGAGATCAAGCATCCTGGCAGCATCTACATCATTCTACATCCTACGCCAGTAGTGAGATATAGCGCCACTGCTTAGCGTTGACATCCCAGGCTGCCTGAAGAGTTCAGAAAGCATGCTGACATGGAGGAGGATCGCTGTGCATCAGTAGTTAGAGTTCGGATGCTTACCAGAATTCACTGCATTCCCTGACCAAGCGTGCGCTGGTCACGGCGTTTTCGCTGCCAGATCCTGGCCTCGACGAGGGTTCCAGGTAGACATGCTGTGACATTTCATTCTGCAAAGCAGCCAGGATGTCGCCCTCACGGCCTCACTGGCAGACTTGAAGCAGCAGTGAGAAAGCTGTAAAAACTTATCAGTCTGGGTTTAGGCTATCCGAGCATCAAGTCATTGAAGCAGCATTCACAAGACATGATGTACGGATTTGCCACCCATTGCCAGGCACCAGTCGCAGAAGAAGCAGTCCCACGGCTCCAGTTCCTGTCGCAAAGACACACCTGGTGAGTGGGAGTCAAGGAGTGAACCTAGTTGCAATGCTAGGAAGTGTCTAGCATCGGTTCAAAGGTCAAATTTTCTGCGAAGAGTTTTCGACTACTCTAGCCGCCCCCCAAAAAACATATGGCTTGTATCTGCTCTGAGTGTCGGAGCTGCTTTCACCAATCCTGGCCATGGCGCGGCATGCGCCTGTTAGTGCCCTGGCATGTCTTTCGCACATGCACCGATGATGAGAAGCAAGCGATGTACCCTTTTTCTACCTCAAGACATCTCGAAGTCCACGTCCAGATTCCAGAGCGTGCCCGAAGGGCCACGTGCAGTGATTGTACCATAGTAACGTAGCCAAGGCTTCCTAAGCCTTGACCGATCGCTTAAAACCGGCAGTTAAAAAACAAGTTTGATTCATGTTGAGCTATGCTGCCTACGACTCGGGCCTGGGAACTTACAGCGGGAATGATGGAAGCTGCCGAGGACAACAGGATGAATCATGTAAGAGTCAGGGAGGGTGTACGGCTAGACTCTGGCTAAACGCATGGGCAAGGAATGCGAGTTCCAGAGGAGCTGTGCGTTTGGTCACATGACGGCTTCATGATCATCTTGTGGGGTGCTGGAACCCTCACTTACCGTCAGCTGATACTCCAAGCGCCGGGAAATCTCAAAACAACCGCCAGCGCACATCCACAACGGGTCACAGCTGCCAAGCGAGTCCGCGCTGGAGCTGCTGCAGGACATTGCCGATGAGTGCGAAAGTGTCAAGCAGCGGCTTTGACCAATAGAACATTTTCCAGCGCTCCCAATGTAACCTCCCTGCAATCATTTAATTGCTAACGCGGGACCGCCCCGGCAAGGGCAGAGGAGGGCTGCAGCCCCGCGTCAACCCACTTCCGAACCCATCTCCCTTGATAAGTTTCGCTTGCTTGTCTCATCTGCTGCATTTCGTGCCGCGGGATCGCAGAAGATGTGAAAGACGCTGCCAATCATGTTCTTTAAGCTGCCATTGCAATCGTGCACCCTGAGCCATTCTTCTTGCCTTCACAATCAACAGCCGAAAAACTTGTTTCGGCTCCAAAGCGCCCCAACCCGCCCCCCGCCGCCACCCCCCACCCGGCCCCCCCCCCGCCTGCCCCCCCCTCCGCCTTCAGCACGTGGGGTCAAGCACGTCCGACCCACGCCAGCCCGCGTGGAACCCCACCGACCAGCCGAACCTCCTTTCCCCCTAGAACATGGCAAAACACATGGAGCTGGGAGGGGACGGTTAGCTTACCTTACTCTCAGAAAGAGGATGGCTGGTTGGGAAGGGTCCCTTCACATAAATGCGTGGAGCCATTGATCATGCTGAAAGCATTTAAGCTCCGGAATCCTTTAGATTTTGGTCCTATTCCAGTGCCTTGTGCCATGGAACATGTCTGGACGCAGGATTCTGCAACAGGCCTCGACGGAGCTTGCTGCCTTTCTCCATGGTGATAGGGTGGCTACAGACTCTGACTTGGCGAACCTTTTTGCGAACAAAGAAGAGGACACAGCCCCCAAAGCAAGTTCATGCGCATGACCCTCTTGATGCGGACGGGCCTCGCAAAGATGCCTTGGACACTACTATGCTGACTGCTGACCGTGATCCGAGCAACTGGTAGTTCCAACACTTGCTTTTCTGCAGGCTCCCTGGACGATGCCGTCACTGCAAGGCCGTTCCTTGAACGCCGCCTGCAAGCTGCAGAGACGGACCGGCTTTGTAGTCACATATCCACCCTGCGCCGATGGGTCAAGTACCATGACTGTGAGGCGCCGAAGGAGGACATGTGTTGGAAGCCGTCGCCTTTGCTGTTGGCACGGTTCTTGCAACACGTGGCCCAAGGAGGGCCGACAGCCTCTGTTACAGTGTTTTCATCTTTACGCTGGTGGGCCTCCAAGTTAAGAGTGCCTTTCCCGCTTGATGACGCCCAACGGACTGCCTTGGGTCCCGCCCATTTTTTGGCTATGGCTGGCTATCTGAATGGGGTTCCCGGTACGGCTCCTGCCTTCATAGCCTGGACCCTTCTCACAACGCTGGCTTGCCTCTGCTTTGCGCATGTACAACGTAGCACCGACTTGCGGATCCAGGGGGGTTTCTTGGTTGGCTTGTGCACCAACGGCAAAAGGCGGATAGCGGGGACTAGAGCTCCCTTCCGCTGGGCCGCCCCAGCAGAGCAGTTAAAAGATAGTCGCTCGATCAAGTTAATTAGATACGGAAATAAGGTGGGAAACCGGTTGGCGACAAGTTCCGAAAAGTGGTTCCCACTGTGCGCGCGGAAGATCGCGGAAGCTTTCGCGGAAGCACTTCGCTTGCGGAAGCTCTTGCAGAAGCTCCTTTTTTTCACTCCGCCGAATCCCGAGCGAAAGCTTATGGAGATGGAAGGTTCTTAACTTCAGCAAAAATTCAGCCGTAATGTGGCTCCCCCCAACACCCTAAACCTTAAAATGAAGATCTCCATGTATTTGCAAAGCCTTAACGAATTCTGGGCAGGTCGCTGGAGATGCAGCAGCCGGTAAATCCCACGCACTTCCTCACTAGAGTTGTTTTATGTTTTGGCAATAAGGGAGCCACCACGGAGATACTTTCCCCGGAGCGGGTCCCTGGAATTAATGAAGTGACGGGGATTTCGCGGAAGCTCCGCGGAAGCCCCGCAGAAGCTATGGGATGGGTTTGGGACTACTTGGCCACTCCTTTTCTACCGCAGTACCAATTCCCAAGCGACCGCCTCTGGTTTGAAGTTTGAACCATGAACAACCAGCCCAGCTTCCCCTTTGAAGAAGTTACCGAGTGACCGGCTTTGGCTTTAACTTTCTAAGGCCAGCTCCAACCCCGCTCTTCTAAATAGGTTCGCACTCAATGTACGCGCACTCAATGTACGCTCGGGCTTTGGACGGATAACGCCGAAGACTAGAAATCCCTTTCGCGGAAGAG